TACCATAGGAGGTTTTAGGCAACTTTACCAAGTGGGGCCAGTGTTTTTCATAGGGGCAGTGAACAAAAAAACAAAAAAAAAAAAAAAAAAAAACACAAGGCAATAGTGCATCATTTAGGATATCAAATGAACCACAAAGCTAAAGTTTCAGACTACGGAATTCATAGAAGAAAACTATGATCCTGTCTTAATCCCTTAGTTTTTTTAAATGATTGTTAAAATTTAAAATTAAAAGCTTTAATTGTTCTAGCAGAATCAGTCTGTTATGGTCTCTCTCTCTGATAGCACCTATCTTCATAAGACAGGGTCTTCAAAGTTTTCCAGGCTAAGGACCCAAACTGGCGAGGTGGAGCTGGGACCCCATAACTATATATTGTATTAAATTGTGTTATATCAAACTGGTCCTATATTAACTCTATTACATATAATGTAAAAAAAAAAAAAAAAAAGTAATTTCCACCTGGGATTATTAAAGTATTTCTGATTCTGATTCCTGGTTGATGGGACAGGTGTTGTAAATTAAACGGTTGAAAGAGCTCCTGTGTGCATTGATGACTGAAAGACATCATCTGCCTCCATTTGGCTGTTTACTACAGAGTGTTGAATTCATGGTAATGTGGATTTGAAGACATTTCATTTTGTGAAAAAAAAAAAAAAACTATTGGGGGAATATAAAAAACAAAACAAACAAAAAAGTCTGATCAACCAAAAGTTTTGTGACCCTTATGCAGTACCTCTGTTGACCCCCTAGGGGTCACCGACCCCCTTGAAGACCTGTGTCATAAGTAATAGATTCAATGTTATTTTTTTTAGTATAGCGGCCCAAACCAGTCCTACTGGCCCTGCTGACCCATGTCTCAGCAGAACTACCAACCTTATTTTGAGTGTCAGGTCATCTGGTTTACATGCGGGGTGTATCTGAGACGGCATTGAGGAGCGATGAGAGGTCGCTCATTTTGAACGTTCAGCGACTAGAGCAGCAGACAGTGGAGTAGGGTTATCTGAACCCCTGCAGCCGCATGCTGAGGGTCAGCCAATCAAATAAGCTGAACCAGGAGCTGATTTCTTCCTCTAAGCTGTGGCAAATACATCAGAATATCTGCACTGACTCAAAATGTCAAAACCTGCTGGAGAAAAATGCCAAATGTTCTATTTTGCTACTTGCAGTTTTTTTACCCCAAACCTAAAAATCATTTAATATTCACTTTCAGCAGCTGGGGATCCCAGACAGTCTCACCAGCTTCAGATAGCTTTTACTGGGGAGTCCCAGTAGCGTGACGAGAAGACAAGAGCAGAATTCATTATTTTGATGAACTGACTGAACATGATGATGTTTTGGGACGGCCTTTCTCGCTTAAAAAGCAAAGGGAGCCAAGCTGCTCTTCAGATTGCAGCTCAACGCCTGCAGCAGCGAGCCTCCAACGCTTCTGATGCTTTTTTGGACACTCCAAACTTGTTTGGTGTGACCGCATCACAATGTCACAATTAATAGAAACTAAATCTAACTTGATGCTTTAGTAAAAACTTGAATCTTTACATTAAGAATTGAACCTAGAGCAGTTACATCCATCATTTACGTTATGTTCATTACGACTTGGCCAACAGGCAGGCTGGGTAAAGAAAGTGGAGACAAACACTCTATTAACTCAAGACGTCACTTAAAATCCTTTGACAGTTTTGCAAAGCTTGACGGAAAATCAACTCAAATGAGATTTTTAAAACCCAGCACCCCTCCAGCAAAATATCCTTCCTTTTGACCCCGCATAGCCTCTCTCTCTATCTCTAATCTCTGTCTCTCTCTCATGCGCGCTCTCTCCTGTACAATTCATCTAACTGCTCACAGCCATCTTGGATTCTCTTCTGTTACTCTGACAGCAGCCATAAAGGAACAAGGCTGTCGGTTGTTGTTCTGCAGACTACATCACGCCTGACCATAGGGCCGCCTTGCTATCAAAGACTCTGCCCCCATTGTGATGCGCTCCATTGTAATGAAAAATGAATCAGACCGAATTGATCTCTGTCCTGACCCATTAGATACTAATGGAAAACAGGCACCTTAGGTGAAAGACCAAGGTTAGTGTAGAACCTCCTATTGACCCAGGAGTGTTTTGAATGTGGTCTGATTTGGACTTTTGTTTTTCATGTGTTGGCCTCAAGGACAAAGGTTTATGTACATTAAAATTAATCAGATTTACAACTTAAAGCAGAACTCTGATTCCAAAGAGATGCTAATGAGCGCAGTGTGCAGTCTGCACTGCATTTCTGAAAAAAACAGGGTTTTTGTTTTTAAGTTTTTAAGCTTTGATTAGGTGGTTTTTCATTTGCATTGAAATTATATTTGGTAAAACTGCAATGGAAACCCTTTTTATTTTCATATAGCACAAGTCACGCGATCACCAACTGGACCTCACTGCCTTATAAAAAGACGAAGACCAGATGTAGTTTGAAGACGACTGCTGGAATATGGATAGATATCGTGTTTGCATCCGCCATCCCATGTTGTTTTCTGAGTTATTGTGTGAACAAACGTATTCACTTGTTGTTTTAATTGCATTTTTTATTCAATGGAAATACTGCAAATGAGGAAATTTGCATTGTTTGGAATTAGCAGAATATCGACATAGTTTAACGCACGTTTGTATGGGAAACGCAGCCAGATAGTTGATAGTGAGATTAATTAATCAGCAAATGTCGAAGGTTCTGATCAAGGGCTGCCAGGGAATCTCCCCACAGGGAAACCCTCCTAAATGATGTGAGGACAATATTAGCGCTGATATTATCCTATTTTCTTCCTCATCCTGTGACCTTCAGCATTTTGATCAAAGTCATCAGTGGGAGCCTGCTGCCCTCAGTCCATCCAGCTAGATAAATATTACATTAGCATAAAAGGCGCAGGCTTATAACCCTTGGATTATATTGGCCAACAATTATTGCTCTCCAAATATTCCTTTGAACATGAATAATGGACACAATGATATTACCATGACAAATATGCAAGCTTTGCTTCTGACTCTGCAGCAGGAACTTGAGCTGGGATTTGCTTCCAGAACGATCCACACCAATAGCAGAATTCCCAGCAGGAATCGGTAAAACCACAAACCAGCAGACCACAACTGTAAATTTCACCGCATTTAGGTTACATTTACATGAAACAATATGAGGTATCCAACAGGGAAAAAAAAATCAGTGTAAAGATGAAACAGTGTAAACCTGAAAAAATAAAAGACTGACAGGTCTGGGCTATATGGACTTAAAATATTCTTAGAAATTGTTGTTACTATATTGATAACGATAAAAGTGATGATGAAAACACTTTCTTACTACTTTAGAATCTTTCTAAGGTGGCTGTGACTGTTAGCGTGAGCAGTCGTAGCCCCATAATCACAGATATCACTCCTAATAAAAATTACACATTTAAAATGGGTTCTTTAGAGCATTAGCTACATAAAGAAGTCTGATTTATATCATGTAAACATCCAACAGTAATGACATTTAGTCATTCTGTAAATTTTTCTGTAAAAAAAAAATAAAAATATTCAAACAAACCATTTGATAATTCACTCTTTTTGGGGAAGTTTTTAAAACTTTTTTTTATTTATCTTTTAGACAATAAATAAAAATTCTTATCATGACTAAATTTATAATGATAAGCTGTATGGACACTGGATACTCTATCCTGCCCTCCAGATGTAGCACTCTGTCTGCAGACGTGGCAGCATGTGTTCACCTTTCTGGAAAAACTCAGACTGAAATGAAACAGATGAAGTCTGAAGAGATTGGGGTTCACATTTTTATTGACTTGCACAGGACAATCAGCAGTGCTCGGAAATCAGACGATTTTTATCATGATAGGCGACCGGCCGGACATTATGAAGACGACCGATTTTAAGTGCCAATCATTGTGTTGTTGATGGGTTTCTTTCTAAGCAGACATGTGTATTCGTCCCACACTTTGTCCAAGTTTGTTTTGGTCAGAATTGGTCAAATGGGGTGATGAATCACCCGCACAGCAGAGGTAAGGGAGAATAGTATTCTGATCTCAGGTAGGTACAGGGGAGGCCTGAGAGAGCACTATAACCAGAGGCCAGCCTGGAGCTAAGGAACCAGAGAGGTAGATCTCTGGGCAGACGGCACATTGGAGTGAGGAGATACAACAGCTTAAGGGAAGAGCGCTGCAGAAGTCTGGATAAGTTACTGGGGCGAACTAGGCTAACTGAAGAGGTTGAAAGGAGCATAGTTAAAGATTGGATAAGAACGCTGATGGTGGGGGAGAGGATACTGCTGATTGGGAGTAGGACATCAGTACTTTAAAGTAGCCTGCGGGCAAACAGTGTGGCGGAGTGAGGGGAGAAGGCGACTTTTGGTCGGTGTCTAAGCATGACGTATGATGATGAAACAGTCATTCTAGGGTTAAATTAAAACATCATTTTTAAAAGCCACCCACAAACCTAAGAGCATTCCTGCTTCATCCTTGAACATTATTACCTCCATCTTCCATTTTGATTAAAAGAGGCTCTTCTCTGGTGTCTCTCACTCTAAAACAGGGATCAATTCATGATACTTTCTCATTACCTACATTTTTTAATACTTGATATTACAATGTCAATGTGCATGAGACAGGAGCGTTCATTAGATAGTAATCTGTAATCGGCCGATACGTATTTTTGTGATCGGTGCTCTGCTCTCAAAATTCTTACTTAGACCATATCTAATTTTAATCGCACCTTCTAGTGTTTTAATGCAAATAAGAAGCTAAACGGGGCCGTTCTGCGGACGATACACTTATTAAAATTCAGTGAATGAAGCCTAACTACAGAAGAATTTTGTAAACTTTCAGTCAAACCAGCAGTGGTGTTGAAATGTGCGGGCCAGAATCCTGGTTGTCAGTCAAAGAGCTCCTAACCTCATAATAATGAGCACACAGGCCTAAATTTGAAACGCGTTAGTGAGAACCCAGCCTACCCGTTCGTGAATCTGTTTGCCCTTAGTTTGGCGCCCCCTGCTGGTCTGTGAAAACCCACTGCTGTCAATGGGGCGCCCCCTGCCAGTCAGACTGTTCAGACCCAAAAAGCTCCTAATAGAAATCCTCTTATTCTATTTCTAGCCGCCCCTTGTGTCTGGGTTGAGGTGGCGCCCCCTGCTGTCTTTAATTACTCAGTCTGAGGTTAATTGCTTCAGCCTGAAAGCTGCTAGATCTGATATTTCCACAGCAAGATGAGGAATGGAGGGGACAGTTCTGAACTTTCGGAGCTCCTGTACTCATCCATTATTTCTGAAAGCTTCCTCTGCTCCCCTAATGTGCTCATGAATTAATTTAAAATATAATCTGGCATCGACACTGTAACAAAACAGCATTGCTGCAGAGAGGCGGGCAGTGTCAGACAAATGGAGCCAGATATTAACATTAGAAAACACCCGAGTAGAAAACCTGCTGGTTGGGTTTGACTGCAGGCGCAGAACACAGTGAAAGCTGCTTGTTCTGTATGATGGGAGAATCTGCACACATGAAGAAGCTGCAGTTACTGAGGTTCTGTCGTTACTGTAGACCTTTTCTTACTGATGATGGAAAACCTTTTTTTTTTTTTTTTTTTTTTTTTGTCTGCCTGCAGAGTCTGAACCGGGAAAAATCCTTCCAGTCCGACAGCGAGGGAAGCCAGGTGTTCCAGGGTCACAGGTGAGACACATGGATGCATTTATGCTCTGTTGCCGTGGATACAGACAGGGTGTCTGCGTGACTCAATGTAGCTCAAGCGATGGTTCTGCTGAGGTGTTCATGGTGACCTCATATGTCATCTCAAGGCCATTTGCTGTTCAACAGATCATCCAGTCAAATTGATTAAAAGTTTTCTATCCAAGTTTATTGTATCGACTCATTGACTCGAATGCAATCCCTCACATTAAGCATACTTGTAGTGACAGTGGAGAGGAAAAACTCCCTTTGAACAGTATGAAACCTCCAGCAGAACCAGGCTCGGTGTGAGCGGCCATCTGCAGAGGCCGACTGTGGTTCAAGGAGACAGAAGCAGAGATACAGAGATTTTGGGTTCTGGTGTCACCTATCTTCTTGTGAACAATAAGTTCTCTGGACCCACCATCCCATACACCTAGTGAAACACCCCTCCATTATAAAAACAGTCTCGATCATCTCCAGAACCAGCTGTTGATGTTCATCCAGGTGGACTGATGTATTGCTATGACCTGGTTCTCCGTAGGAACCTGGTCACGTGTCTCTCCGTCTCAATGGATGGGACTCTACTCCTCTCCGGGTCACACGACGAGACGGTTCGTCTCTGGGACATCCAGAGCCGACAGAGCGTCCGCTGTCTCCAACATAAAGGTAAGACCCCCCCCCTGTGATGTCAAGTTTAGTTCTCCTTTGTTTACCTGGACCCAGCAGCCATTTGTAGAGAGACTGGTTCAGGGTCATGACCTTTAGCTGAGGCCTGAAGGGATTTTCCTCTGATTGTTGGCTTCATCTTCAGAGGATTTCCTCTGGTCTATAAGTCCAGAACTCAGGCTGAGGTTTTAAGTTCACGCAAAAAGTGAAAGATAAGCCCTTTTTTCTTGAGATAGCTTTAGTTTGCCTCAGTTTGAGCAATTAAAAGATTGTACCAATGGTGCAAGGGGATCAACATTAAAAGCAAGACATGTATTGTTATTCGCTCGGTTCACCCCCAGCTCAGCTAGCTTTCAGGATTTTTTTTTTATCTACATTGGAGTAATGTGCACTGAACTGATCAAGAGGATATTGCAGGTCCAGCGGGTCGACCTTTTCATACTGAAATAAATGAAGAGCAAGGCTCTGATTGACTCATGGGTCAGGAAATTCTAATCTTCCCTCCTTATTCTCCCATTTCCGACGTCCTCCAGCAGAGCAGCATCCATCGTGCAGCCTTACAGCAGTATTCAAATGTTTACGGAAAACACTGCAAATTTCTCACCCCTGTTTAAATGTATTTAGTCAGAGGAATCTGATGGTGAAAAAACATTTAAATGTTGCCCAGACGCTTTAAGGATTTGAGCTGCTTGACAGGTCCTCGTGTATAGTTATTGTTCACCAATGCAGCACGAATTACATGGAGATATTAGATGTTTATAAAGACTTCATACTATATAATCTGCCCCCTTTTTTTATTTTATGGGAAAAAAAAAATCAAGATTTTATAAAAGTAAATACAGACTAAATTCACAAAAAACACTCAATGACTAAATGTCACTTTACAATAATAATATGTCATGGTAAAAAGTTGCAAACTGATTATTCAATCATATGTGGAGGAAGACTTAAAAGGCTGCCATATTGTATAGAAACAATCTAGTTGACTCCTCGGTGAATAGGTTACCCTTTCCAAATGTATGCAGCTATTCACTTTAATTGGGACTGAACATCAGAAGCTGCCCTTTTCTGACCCTAGACCTGAACAGGTCCCGGATGGAGGGAAGGTCAGAGCTGTTAGAGATGAAGCATCCAAGGAAATGAGAAGCAGAAGTGCATGAAGCACTTGTTGCTCTGTGGAGGTTTGGATCTGAATGGACTTCTGTTCACACCTTCTGAGTCTTTCAAACGATGCATCTGATCACCATAAAATTGGCTGATCTTTTAGTAGCAGAAGAACTAAAGCCAACTTAAGTGATTATTTTATATTCAAACTCTAAAAATGTTGTGAACGGACTGGAAATCCTGGAATCCGATACCTTCATGTCACCCACATCTACTAGGGCGCCATTTTTTTATTGCAGTTTGATGGATTTAGTTTGGAGACGACCTTCTTACTTTGAGGCTGATAAACAGCAACATCTCCAAAACTGAAGTCTTTATTTATTTTTTTTCTATCCAATGTTTGTTTCAGTTTCTAATTATCTGACTTGCTCTGGTCCATGATGTCCAAGCTGTCTCACATTTTGGATGCCAAGAGTTAGGAAATGGACATCAAAGGATAAGACTCGTCATCCTGACATAAGCTCCATCAGCAGTTCTTTATTTTTAATTTTTGTATATATTTTCTATGCTGTTCTACAGCTCTTTGGTTGTAAAGTGATTTGTGAAAAAAATCTGATTATTTTTTGTATGATTGTTTGGATCTCCAGCTGCTGGATCCACTCTGACAGCAGAGTGGGAACAGCCAGTTAGCTTTGGAGACTTTAGAAAACATGGCTGACCAGAACCATGTTACAGAACTCCCTCAACCTGTAAGGATGGAGGAGAGTTGGACCGGTTCCTCAGGGTTCTAATCTTTACCACATAGTGAGGATTTCCTGAACAGAACCTTTAAGGTTCTAAAACTGAATCCGATCCAAGCTGTTGGAGTGGACCAGAACTATTTAGGGTACCAGTTACCTGGTGCTTCACCCCAAGGACTGATAACGCTCCACTGGATCCAATCAGGTATTCTGGTCTGGTTTATACCACAGAAAATGGATAAGTCTGATCTGTGCAGTCCACTGGCTGAATTATCTGGACCAGAACCACTTTAGGACCACCAGTAGAATTTCAGTAACAAGGACAGTGATAATGAACCGGCCCCTAAGGCGTTAAGTCTGCTCTGTTGTGGTGGTCAGCCCACAGTGAAGAATTTATGGTTCTGGATGGAGAGAGGCGACCGGGCCAGAGGCTGCTGTTGAACGGGATTCCCAGTGACACAGCACCACCAGTGTATGGTGGTCTGAGCAGCTCAGACAGCAAAATAATATTTGAAGGCAGGATCGTAATCTTGATAAACTGGCTGAACAGATGAAGTTTTCAGGTGGACTTTCTCACTTAAAAACATATGAAAACTACTTTTTACCCACTGATAGCAGCATATGTAGCTGCCATTGTTACAGGCAAAAAAAGGCTAGGGTAGCTCCTCCCAACGCACATCATACCCACTTTTCCAACGCGCAGCTAGAGCTTCTGCAGCATGCAGTCTGGAAGTAGCATTAGGGGGTGGTTTGGGATTGGGCCTAACTGTTGGTCCCATGTTGAGTACTTCACATCCTCCAGAACAAGCAGTTCCCCATTAAACCAGAGGGTGGCAGCAGTGATGCTTTCAAGTGGAACATCCAACAACTAAGGCTACGTTCACACTGCAGCCTGAAGTAACCCAAATCCGATTTTTTTTGCTCATATGTAACCTGGATCTGATCTTTTCATGGCTGTCTGAACAACACGGATCCGATTTTTTTTTTTTTTTTTTTCCAATAGGCCACTTGGCTATGTGGTCCTGGATCCGATACGAATCTGATCTTTTCAGATGCGACCTGTGTCTGAACGATTAGGTCGCATTCATCCGACCTGAACGCCATTAATACCCAACAAAGGTCACTGTTCTGGGTCTTGCTATGAAGAAGCGGCAACAAAAACAACAGCCATGGCAGACGATGATGCGGAGAGCAGTATTTAATTTAACCATCTTGAAAAGACTTAGTTTTTGCGGTTGGGAAAGATCACTAGATGCGCCCCTGCATCACCATCCATGTTTACTTGCGTAGACACAGTACACACTGGCCTGTGACGTCATTGCATCCTCTACTGCGCATGCGGGATGCTTGCGTTGTATGACTGCAGTTCACACAGGAGATCACATAGAAGTCGCATATATTTGGAAATGTGAACGGCAACGCAAAAAAATCGTTTTCACAAAAGAATCGGAATTGAGCATCAAGGCCTGCAGTGTGAACGTAGCCTAATTTGACATTGTATTATATACGTCAACAAAATAAACAACCCTTTCAATTCAAAAAGCCTCTTTTCTCCTAAATTATTGCATAAACAAATAGTGTTTTTAATCCATAATTTCAGTCATTCAACAATCTGATAGGATTAAAGTGATAATAATAATAATCCTTTTTTTAGAAATCTCAGATATTTTATCTAAATTCTTTTAAAAACTACGTTTACAAGTGTGAACTGAACAGTACAGGAAAATTAATTGCAGCCCAATTCCTCCTGAATAGGCTAATAACATGCATACAACATTGTCTGTAAGAGTTTTACTTTGCTGTAAACAGAAGATTACGTTTTGTTTCTAATATTTGCATAAAGCATTGTCTTTCACAGGTTAACATTTGCTATTCAACATTTAGAGCATTTAAAACATATAAACCACTAAGGCTACTTTTTCTCCTTAAGCCATTTACCAAGAGAAACGATCCATGTTCCAACTTGCTTATTGGGGAGTTGTTTAGATTTCCGATGTAAAGTTGTCTCTAAAGTTTATAACCTGTTTTAATATAGGCTGGCTGAAGAATTGATGCCTCTCTGTAGATGCTTTGGTTAACATCTGGGCTGCTAACACAAAAGTGGCACTTAAGTGGTTTTTAATACTTCCAGTGGACGAATGCTGGGGTTACTGCTTGTGGGTCAGATTTAAAGGTGTACAAAACGGTAAATACAAAGGTTCCTAATTGGGAATATAAGAGTAATTTATCAAAATTAAAGATGTAAATATGATGTCTATCTAATTAGCAAGGGCTTCATGGAAATCAGTGATTTATTTGGAAAGGTGGATTTCTTGCTCGTTCATTATCCTGTTCGGATTAGTGGTGATTGACACTGAGCTGCTTCTAGCATCTGTTAGTTTTCGTCCACTCCTATGAAAGTCCTTTGGCTCCGCCACAGGAGAGGACGCAGTGGACAAACTGGACGCTAAGGGACTGAGTCAACTTCAAGCATGGATTTAAGATTAAAAGCTGTTTGGGTCTCGGTTGAGGTTTTTTAGAGGTAAATGTTTCTGTTTTTTTGAAACAAACTAGAAAGATGTATTGTTTTAGAAAACGTGTGATTGTAGTTTTTGGCATATATTAAGTTATTTAAAAAGCATTCTTTTATATGTGATATACTAATAAAACCAGTAACATACAATGAGAATATTAAGTATAAGCTCATCATTAATATTGCCCAGTATTTACTGAGAGATTCTCCTTTGGTTGATTCTTGCTTTTATTTTTATTACTGTCATTTTCAGGCCTCTTGGATGATTATTTTTAAGCTGGTTATAAGAAGCTAAACTTATCAATATCATCTATAACTTCAATAAAACCAATGGACTGATCGATAAACCAACCAATGCCCTGATCAGTAACCTATTTACAACTTTGTACGAAGCAAAATGCCAATGAATGAACAAATCCAAGAACGATTCCAACTGTGACATCACTTCCTGTCATGTGTTCAGGTCCCGTGACAAACGCGATCATCATGTCTGTGTCAGCGAACATGTTCCTGCCCGACAGTCGGCCTGCCGTGCCGCTGCCACGCTTCAGTCGACACCTCCTCACCGCCGAGGGGAACGACGGTGAAGCAGGGGAGGTTTGTGTTCGCCCCGCCCTTCACATACAGGTGAGCGTGCAGTTGGATTATCTTCTGTTTAATTGTAGTTTAATGATTTTATTCTGGATTTCATATAAACCAAAATTAAAGTTTTAGTTCATTTTGATTTGAGTTAGATTTATTTTACAGTTTATTCTAAGTTTTTTGTTATTATCATGTTTTCATTTTGACAGCAGGTTTATGTGCTTCACATTTGGAAGGTGAAGCTGATCTTTAGTTTGGTTAAGTTAATTCGTTTGGATGAATATTTTATGTCTTTGTACATTTTTTAAAAGTAGCAATAACCTGGAATTATACATATACAATCCTTCTGAAATTGTCTTTAAATTCATTGAATGATTTTTTTTTAGGAAGAAAAAAAATTAACGAGCATTCAGACCTTTTTTATACACCTTTTTTTTTTTCTTGACAGGTATCAGAATTTGACCTGTGTGTATGAGCCTTCTTGTGGATGTAGCGTTAGCAACATTAGCAGTTAGCCATGGTTTGTTTACTGTAGTTTCCTATGCGATAAAAGTTACACAAGCAGCAACACGTGTTGACAGCGTGCAGGTGAGAGCCTGATTGGTGGAATAGAGACAGGAGTGGAGATAGCAAGGGGCGCTAATGTTAGCACTCTGCACTATTGATGTCAGTCAAGGAGGAGGACCAAAATGGTGCCTTGTGGCGAGGGCCCTCTGGTGGATTGGCCATAAAGAGCAACATGCAAAAAGCGAAACAAGCCACTACAGATTTTCGCACAGGTTTTAATCGCAGAGGAGACGATGTGGCTCTTTACAAGGAACTCCATGAGGAACACTGTGTTGGTTCAAAGTCTATCACATTCCAAAACACTGAGGGAGGCTGTTTAACTTACAGCAACAGTGCAGTACTGCCAGCTGCTTTTAGGGTTTATTGTTTATTTATTTAGATCCCCATTAGCTACTGAGTCAAAGCAGTAGCTGTTCTTCCTGGGGTCTCAAATCTGAGTAACAATGAAACCAAATACAGAAGTACACACACACAACAATACAACTTCATAAACATATATATCTTACACATAACATAGTATTAGCTATTATATGTACAAAACATGACCAATTTCTGGGTATTATGTAAATTACAAAACATTTCAGTCACTAGTGCTCATTATGAATTACTTAATTCCATAAACGTTACAGTCACTCCAAAGTTAATAAATATAGTCTAAGCCTTTTGGAAAAGCTACCATTGTACATCTCTGAAATCAAGAATAAATGTACATGATTTATGAGACCTAATTTTATCTTTAATTGTCTTAAAAGATAAATCATTGTTTGACTTAAAAGTCGTATCTTTTTGTAAATTCTTAACTTTCTTTGTAAAGTAGTCTCCTAGATAATTCGCTGTATCAGCAGGTTTAGTCATAAAAATGTCCCCAGCATCTAAAAATGTTGGTACAGATTCAGCTCTTCGTCCTGTTAATTGGTTTAATATATTCCATAATTTATTCCGGTCTGAGTTTACTTCCTCTAATTTGTATTTGTAATACAGCCTCTTTTTTGTTATGTTTAATTTTGTAACATAATTTCTTAATTGGTTGTACCTTTCCCATAATGCATTATCCTCTCCTGAGTGTGCCTCTGACTTTAATTGATGTTTTTAAGTTTAAGGGTGGGCTACACCTGGAAGTTACAGCAACATGTAAAGCATTTCTTCAGAGAATCCTCCTCCAGATCAAACTTCTGAGGGAAACTGTCTAGTTTAGGAATAAAATGGAGATGAAAAGCCATTTCATCTCCATTTTGAAAAAAACAAACAGGAAGATGACATAAGATAAAAAGATATACCGGTAACAGAATGACAATGTTGAGATAATCCTAATCAGGAACAAATATGTTTTTGGATTTCTGAGATCTAAACTCAGAGGAAGAGAAACCTCTTTAAAATACATGCAGACACATCGTGTACCTGCCTGAGGTACCAGGATTCTGGACATGGTTGCATCTCAGCAGTCAGCCTGCTGGACCTCTGTACGTTTCACTCAAGTCTTGTTTTAGAGAGAAAGATTTCAGATCAAGGAAACTGAGCAGAAAAACAAACCTGAGATGAAACATGCACTAATTTCCCTTATAAACGTCTTTAAAACTAGCCCCAAAGGTCAGTTTACTGTCGATAACTGCATTCATCTGCAGATATTTATATGTGTCACGCGTCCACTGTCTGACCCTTTAAAAAGGTACCTCCCCTCCCTGAGGGAGTTTTCTGACATCGATTAGCAAGGCCTTGTTCTTTGTTTTATTTATGTGAAAAAAAAATCGATTCATCACACCACTGAGCAAAGTTGTCAACCACGGGGCTGATTCATCTACGTACTCTCTGATAAATCTGTCCTGCTGCAGCCATGCATGTTTCTGTGGAGGATAGAAAAAAGAGGTGACACAACCATCCCTGCAGGAAGCCGTTCAGTCTGAGGTCCACCTCACAACATTAAAACCTGACCTGAGAGACCATCTAGTAAACTGGGTCGGCCTTTCTGTCTCAGCACTTGACTGGTTTAAATCCTGCCATATTTGCTTTATTGTTTACATCACAGATCACAAAAATCACATGTGGCGTTCTCCAAGGGTCCGTCTTGGGGCCATTAACTCAGATTGTATTCAGTCCAATTTTCTTTTCTTTCTAAATCATGTTATTCATTTTATAATCATCTTATTTGGAATTATTCATTCACTAGAATTCATGTTTGACCTTTTGTCTAGCTTGTTTTTTTCATGTGTGTTGAACTGTCTCTTTACTAAAATCTGCTATATAAATAAACTCACGTTATCGATTCAAATATAAAGCTGAATGGTGTTTAAAGCAGATGAAAAACTGATCATTAAAAGCCACCCATGAGTTTCCTTGTCCTCTGCATGTTTAAAAAGCAGGTTCATAAGTTTAACTTTAGAGTCAAAGCTCCATTAGCGTTATAGATCTATGCCTCACGCTGTTGCTAGGTGACAGAAGTAACAGCGAGGTAAGGGCTGGGTGGGCTGATCAGGACTAGACTGTCCCAATTCCCAGCTGATGGTTTCCAGCCTTCATAGTTCCTGCAGTCATTTAGCCCCACAGTTTGGACACGTCCTAATGCCTATTTTTTGTTTGTGTGTTGGTGTCTAACCCAGATTTAAATTTACTTCTCTTTGCCTTAAAACTGCATTCTGTAGATTTTCTAAGCCAAATTTTTACCTCACAGGTTTCTTGGCTGTGTTTTGGTGCTTATATTTTTACCGACTTCCTGTTTTCAGGAGGAAGAGGAATCCTACCTGCAGAAAGCCAACAGGTTGTACTCCCTTATGTGCGCCGTGAACGACAAGGTGAGCGGGGTTTACGCTTCAGGAGTTTAGTGTTCCGGTTCTGATCTGTTAAAGCTCTGTTTCTGTTCCACTTATGATGAATTAAAAACGGCATAGATGATTGTATATCAGGTTCTGAGCCGCTCTCTGATTTGTTGCAGACGGTGGTCGGTGACGGTGAAAACACGAAGGCTCGGGTTGCAGAGCTGGAAGAAGAAGTTCAGAATCTGAAAAAGGTCAACAAGGATCTGTTTGAGTTTTCTTCTCAGCTGCTCACCAAGCCCACATAACCACAAAGACTGACAGAGAACCACACGGACCCACAGAGAACCACAGAAAACCACACAGACACACACTGGCAAACGCATCTTTTGTTACAAAATAAAAAATGTTAAAAAAAAAAAAAAAAAAAAAAAAGCTGTCTGACTTTTTCCTTCAGACTAACTTTCTTAGTGCTTCCTCCCCACCTAACCAACATTAAACTAGAAACTAAGCTGTTCTGGATTTACAGGTTAGAACCCTTCATCTATGGTTCATTCCAGGTAATAAAAACTTGATTTCAGTTATAATTCTCTGGCTTAAACTAAGCACTAAATACCAATCAGACCGACGGTTTGGTGCCAGCCTGGTCTTAGGCTAGTTTCTTTTTTACCATCTTTGACCACTTTTAGACGGGTTGCCTGGTTTTGGTTTTTTAACACAGTGGAATCAAATAAGTGGCTGATTATCGGGCCTTTGGCAAACCTGATGGCATGCTGAGGAGGTAAGAGTCACTTGAATTAGCTGTGTTGGAGCAGGGATGCACAAAAACCCGTAGGAGTGTGGAGGTTGAGGAACAGGGTTGGAGACCCATGATCTAGATCAGGGACGTCAAACTGGTTTCAGAAAGGGCCGTATGGCTGCTGGTTTTCTTTACAACCAAGCAATAGCACACCAGACTCCATTCACCTCATCAAGTCATCATGTTAAGACTGGACTCAGTTAATGAGAGGACTGGAGTTTAAGGGACCTTTAACATCAGTTTAAACAAATTAACCTATAATAGGTATAGGTCATATGCACTGACAATCGTGATGACGATAAAATTGAGGATTAAAATTATTAAATAAAAAAACTTCTTTGCAATCTCTTAGGTAATTGTTTGGCTGTTGCTGCTTACCACAGCAATCATAGGCCCAACATTACAAATTATACTCTTGAAGAATATATGTTTAAATTTGGCTTCTTCAGAACGATAGTTACATAAAAATATATGATTATGTCAGTAAAAAACACATTCTGAAAAATAGGAAAAAAATGGCACAAAAAAAATTCTGACAAATCACCAAGTTTCTGAAAATTTTATAATTAATCGTTTGGATGATAATTGACTAGAAACCTACCATGATAATAATAAAATAAATGCCCACCCCTACTATGTTGGATATAAGTTGTTATAAAGAATTCTACAATATATTGAATATATTTAAAAATTTTCTGTAAAAAAAAATACCATAGACGTCCTCTTCAGGCAGTTTAATTCAACATAAAATTGGTTTTAAACTCAAATCTAATGTTTTGGCGATAATGTTATTGTGAATTCTCCTGAAACCAAGAAGGAACCTGGAGAAGAACATAAGCAGCAGCTCCTTCACTGCCTCTAAGATGACTGAATAAGCTTCTCACTAAATAAAATAAAAAAAAAAAGCAACATGAGTTTTTATCAAATGTCTCTGTTTACCTTCTCATTATAAAGATTATTTGAAGTAACAGTCAATTATCTCAAAGCCCTTTAGCTCTTTACTTATGAGGGTCGATAAACACAGTTCCACACTGTGAACTAGAACAAGTCAGCAGAGTTACTTTCTAAAGAAATGCTCTGATTAGTTCATTAGAACGGTTCTCTTCGGTGACGTCAATTTCACCGATCATTATGCTGCTGTGTTGTGGTTCATTAACTGAATTAACAGTTGTTATTCCTCAGAGTAGTTGCAGCACACTATTAGGCAAAGCATCAAGTGCCACTGCATATTCCCTGGGGGTAAGAGGAAGTTTAAACTTGGATGGAAATATATTGTATGTCAGGAGATTTCCATTGACATTTAGAAGCTGAACCACTAATAAATTACCATTTTCCACACGGTTTTTAATGTAAATTGACCTTTTCTTATAAATGATATTTTCATTGTTTCATATTTAATATGAAGTTGGGGGGGGGGAAATGATGTTTGTATGCAAGTTTCCATGCCAAGGGGGCTTGTTGAGAAAAAGCAGGCAATTTTTGCAATTTTTAATTACATTTTAGCAAGAAGTCCACTCATTAATTTGAAGATATGTTTGGTAAAAGGGTTCCAGATTGTTGCATTTTCTTTTAATAAGTTTGTTAAATGTCTCATTTTAAAGGAAACATTTAAGCATTGGATTTTATGTTTTTATATAAAACCAAAAAGTATTTTATCAGCTTTTTTAGATTCACCTTTAGTGTTTCTAATGATAAAGATGCTAATACCTGGAAACTCCCTTAGCATAATATTCTACCATTTAGTGACAGCTGCATTAGCCTTTCTGTTCAACTGTGGGACCAAAATTAAATGAGTTACATAAAGTATTTTCCAAATTATTCCATAACATGTAATATTATGTTTCACTGGTATTACTTGATGCAAATTGGATTCTTTAAGGAGAAACAAAACAGATTTATTCAAGTTGATCTTTAATCCCGACTTCAAGCAACTGCCTTACTCGCCTCATGCACATTAGATATGAAAAACACAAAGTCATCAGCCAACAATTTTAATTAATTCTCCATTGCAAAGTACCATGAAAAGGTCCCTTTTTCATATGTGGTGCCATAATTTGTGTTACCAGAAGAAAAAGAAATGGGCTTAATGGGCGGGCTTGTCTAATCCTGCGTCTGATTTGTCTAATCTTTCAAATCAGATTGTTGTTCTCTAATAATATCTAGTTTTAGCCTTTTGGCAAAATAATCTCAGCATCATTATTCATAAGACTAGTTTGTGTCCAATGTTACAAATTTAATTTATCTTTTGTAGGTTTTGGAATCAATGTAATTAAGCTTTGACGACGAGGTGGAATTTGTTCTCCACTGTTGCCTCTTTAAACAGTTTGATTATTAATAATTGATATAATTTACAGATTATTCTGTCATTTCCAGGGCAGTTCTTATTTCTAACACAGCCAATGGATTAACAGCTTAAATACAGATTCCCTCGTCACCGGTTTTTATGAAGTTCTCATAAATGCAATTAGCTTCCTCTTGTTTTCTTCAGCTTTCCTTCTTAATGGGGGAGCGGCAGTCTAGTGGTTAGGGCATAGAGCTTGGAATACTGAGGTTCTGAGATCAAGCCCCACTCCCACAGACTGTCACTCTGGGTCTCTGAGCAAGACCCTTAACCCCCTTTTTCTCCCCAGGCGCCCCACAATGGCAGCCCACTGCCATCCCTCTCTGGGTTAAATGCAGGGGTTAATTTCTCCAACATGAGTTCAATAAAGTTCAATTATTTTTATTGTTTGCACTAAGAAATGTTTCCATGTCATTTTCATCCTCTGGGTCTCATTTTATAGTTTTTGGTAAAAATGTGTTGCTTTTATTGTAATGTTGGTTGTTCTTTCAGCTCCTGTTCAGTTAATTTTTTTTTTCTAAGATAGCATCATTATATTGGTAACTATTTTGGTTTCACTCTTTATTTTTTAGGACCAGTCTTTTTTTCCATTCTTAAAACATATTTCTAACATCAAATTTTAACAATTTCCAACATTTTCCAAACTGATTAAACAGAATTGCCTGCATCCAATACTTGATGAGTCTCAATTTTTCAGTTTTAAAATCTTTGTCAAATAGTGTTATTTATTTTCCAGTAATTCTTATCCTGCATTTGTCTGCCTAACTTAATATCAATCTTAATAATGGCAGCTTTGCGGTCTATCAGAATGGTTCCTTCAGCTGAGGTGTCAACACCCTTATCTTAACTATCCGAAGAGCTGAGCCACAAATCAATGCAAGACTGTTGAGTTCTGTCTCATTGCTCCATGTTTTTATCCAAGCTTCTACTGCTGCAAATATCCATTATTCTCATTCTGTTATAAATAGGATTTAATTCAGCTGGAGGTGGATTTCTGGGTGGAAGTCTAAGTTATCCTCCATCATTGTATTAAAATCACCACATAAGATTTTAGCTGCAGGGAATTAGATTAGCATTTCTGTAATTCTTGCTTCCAGATTAAAAAATGAAATGATTGTTTTGCTGTTTATTGTTAAATCCATATGCGTTATTAACTAGAAACTCGATGACATGCATAAGCAAACAACCATTAACATCTGCCATAGAATAGCCACTCAGGCTTATTTTCTATTTGCTAAAAGAAACTAGAGCTGTACCCCACTGATTCTTCAATAATGATTCTGAATCGTGTTTTCTGAATTAAATAAAAATCAGCACCCTTGTTTTTACAGTACAAAAATAAAGCTTTTAACTTTAGATTATTTCTAATACCCCTGGCTTGACCAGAAAGAATCAAAGTGGATATTTGTAAAAATAGAGCACACATGTCCCAAAAGAAGAAAAACAGTAAATGCCTTCGACTGATCATTGCGTCCTGGTTACTCTGCCACAGGGATATGTGTCTGATAGGCGTACATGACATGATATAGAGATTTCTTGGTCTGCAGCTGTCATGTCCTCTTTAAAGTTCTGGACAAAAACCTTCTGGTCACGGGCCATGGTGGTGGATTCAATCTTTCTACACATTGGTGAAGGTTGCCAATCCTGTACAAGACATCTATTGCTGCCATCCCCATCCTGGCATTCCATATCTGGTAGTGCAGCCTTACAGATGTCCTGAATTTCCTTTTAAATATTTCCCTCTTTGCTGCTTCCCGGAATGCCATGTATTTGGAGGTCGAGTTATCTGCATTAATGGTCTGCCTTAATGACTTTGTTCTTGAGATCGTTCACTTTTCCCCAACAGTTCACACTGTTTCTGAAGTGCAATGCTTTGATTTTTAGCACCATAACTTCTTGACGGTAGAATTCTGGTGATTTCTTCAATCCCTCCATTTGTAGAGTGTTGTCAGTTGTGTCAGTTTGATCTGCTCTCTCATTGATGTTCTGAGTGACTGCGAAGGTGATGGTGTTCTCAACAAATCGGCTTATATTGCGCGTCACTCCTTGCTTTCTTGTTTTACTGGTTTGCTAGGTGAAGAAAAGGAACCCCTGTCCAGCATCCATGTCCTCCAGTTGAGTCGTCTTTGTTTTTCCAGTTAGCCATCCCCAATCCTCCTGCAATTCAGAGGTTGAAGTGTGGTTGAAATATTTACTTAGTACCCTATCTTGCTAATTTATTTACTTTTGAATACTTGTTGACAATGATTTTCTATTTAAAAAGCTGTTCAT